CACGGCGGAGCTGGGCAGGCGGTTTGGTGTGCGGACCTCGGCTCGTCGAGTCCCGTGGCAACCACCGCCTTTAGAAAGTACTTTAATTTCTTAGGCATCCCGCAGCGGTAAAGAAAACCGGCAGTTCCCAAAACAGATCATTTTTAAAGTCAGACTTTGTTGCCTTAAAACCACAAATAAACAAATGCAGGTCGTAAAGAGAAGCAACAGGATGACAAAGCGCCCGCTCCGAGCCCCTGTAATTAAGATGGCTTTGGCTGATTTGTTTTATTTCTCAGCTTTCTCTGCTGGGCTGTAACTCGGAGCTGCTTCGTGCTCCTTCCCTGATGGCAGGGCTTGGCGCAGGGGTAGGGATGGAGGGTCCAAAGCAGGGACTTATAAAACAGAAGGCAAGAAGAGGCAGCACAAGGAAGAGCACTGTAACCTCTCCATCACCAGCTTTTCGGTCCCTCTCTCCCCCAGTGTCTCTTTTCAGGTGGGTCCATTGCATCTATTAAATAGACCTCAGGGCCAGCATCCCGAATTTGAAGCTTTCATCCCAGTTTGAACTTCCACGTTGAATTTTCCCATTGCAGCAGGCCTTTGTTTTAGGATTAGCTCGGTCTATCTCGTGGGTCTGTCCGCAGCCACCGTACAAGCTCCTGCAGCACCCGATGGTCCTTCAGGTGTTCCCCGGCAATTGAAGCTCATCGGTTCCAATGATGATGATAATTTTTAACCTGAGTCTAAAACCCCTAAGGATCCTTTAGAGGCAGAAAAGTTGCTCTCCTGGTTTTGCAGACGCAGCTGGGCTCGCGAGTATTAGCAACGCGATTGCTCCGTGTCACTGTTAACGCTCCCCGGTGCAGATGGAGGCAGAGAGAGAAGAAAAGCCGACGATAATGGGACGAAATGGTTCAGAGTGGGGTTTTAGTCTGACTTTAATGCATGAGGGATCCAACTCCTACGGGAGCTGATGGAAGTGCTGCTATGATTAGAAGTGCCTCTGCGGACGAATCAGACCGTGCTGGTAATGGAGCGAGGCAGTGGAGGCAGACAGCAGGAAAGCTTCTCTTTGTAGGCGATGCCTCTCCTGGCATCTCTTGGGTCATCTCTTCTGCCAGCTTTCTGTCCGCAGAGGCACAGTTCTCTCACCTCCGTGTCTTCTTCTCCGGTCAGCCCGGTGCTGGACCGCTGCCTTCCCTCCCAGCCTCCTTGGGGAGGAATATTTGGGCTGTGGGGCTGTGTGGTGTTCAGAGATGCATACAGAGAACGGGCAGGGTAGGAGATGGGCTGATGGAAGATGCTTTGGGGTTTTTTTTTTGTGGCCAAAGCAGCTCAGGTGCTGTCAGTCTGTAGGTCTGGGTTTGATGCTCTCCTGCAGTCTCAGAATCAGGCCGAGGAGACCCAAACCACCTCTAGAAGGTTGGAAATAGCTTCATTATTTCCAGAGACAGACCTCAGCGGCATTCCCCAGCACAGCTTGATCTCAGGCTTTGGGTTTTTTTTTTTGCAAGCCAAGACATTTCTCTTCTTCACTGAGTCAGCCTTTCCCCAGGGACCATCCCTGTCACCCTCAGACGCTCCGAGAGCCCGGCAGCCGGTCCCACGGCGAGCAAATCATCTCTGGTGTGTCTGAACTGCCTGATTTGCAGGGGTTGAAGGGCAAAGTGAATTGCAGGGGTGATGACTACGAGCTGTTTGCAATGGTGAACTTTAGACTATAATTTCTAAGCTGGGGAAACTGGAAGTGATGCCCTGACTGAGACATTATCGATGCACTAATAAAACCTTTCCCCCCCCCAAAAAAAAAAAAAAAAAAACAAACCTCAGTAAAGCAAATGAGACCTTTGGAAAACTCAAAGGGCCCAGGGTTTGGCTGAAAAGAGATTATCTGTGGCTGCCGGGGCAGGGCGAGAGGAGGAGATGAAAGCGTAGTTGGGCTCCTCGCCATCCTTCCTGCTGCTCCAGATGCCTGCCCGGGTGGTTGGGTGCATTAGCTATAAACCAGCTCCTCGGGGAGGTGATAAGAGCAGATGAAACAGTAAATCATTAAGCCAGCACAGCGCACGGCGTTGGAATAAACAGGGAGCAAAGTGCACTAATTACAAGCCAGCAGGAACGCGGGCGCGTTATCGAACACGCAGGTTGGACGGCGAGGGAACGGGGCAAAGTCACGCTTTGCGGGGATGCCCTGTGATGGTGGTTGTTGCTACCAACCCCAGCATCGCCTGGACCTTCACCTTTTCCTTTTCCCCAATGTCATCGATTGCAGGCAAAGTCTCCCTGCATCTGGAGCTGTAGGGATAAACAAAAGCTGTTTGCTCCAGGGCGCTCACAGCTGAAAACATAATGGTTTGGTTTCGTGTTGTTTTGGTTTTTTTCCCCTCACCCCGTGCTCACCTTTTGCATGTTTTCAGAGGAGGAAGAGAAGCAGGAGAAATAGTTTTGTTGGTCACACGTCCCAGATAAGCCATCCTGCTTCCTGCTAGCGAGCGATCGGGCAGGTACGGAGGGCAGCAACCTCGAAAACAGTCCCCATCGCCCTGCCGAGCTCACCCCCGAGCTCACCCCAGCTCACGTAAGTGCTGGCCAGCCAGGTTGGGCATACTCCATTTAAGTGACCTTTAATTTTCCCCTCTTGGATTGATCAGTGTATCTTTCAGGTCATCCCATTTTGACTGCATCGATCTCATACGGGAAACCATCAGGTCCCATTGAAGACCTGCCTTTAAAACGTAACTGCTGGAGCGAGGTCATGGAGATACATATTTGACTCTATATTGCTGTGGTAGTGTTGTAATTATAACATTAAGATGGCATGATATGGCTGCAGTACTTCTTGTCACGCTATTCCGAGATCGGTTTAGTTCTGCTTTCCGTCGTTATCCTGATATTATACCACTGCATGTATGTGATGGGATTCTCTGCTTACCCAGAAAAATACAGATTATTTTCAGCCATCTCCCCAGCTCAGGTATGCTGCTCCCTTAATCACAGGGATACAGGTGGATGCTCCGATTCCCCGATCCCGTCTTTCGAAAGACTATTGTATTAACCCACTGGACTGTGCTAGCGTTGCTGGTAAACGGCGTCTGGCTTTGATTTCGTGTTTAATCACCCAATGCCCCCACCGCCAATAAATCTCTCCTTTTAAGTCGTGAAATAAGGCAGAGCCTTGCAGCGCTGCTACCAGCTGCCTGCAAAGCTGCTAACCGACACGGTAGAAAATAATATTTCCATGCACAGCTTGGATTAAATCCATTCCTAAATTTGTTTGCGTGAAACCCACCGTGATAGCTCATAGGAATTTGGTGGAGGCTGCGGGACCAGCCTGGAGTAAGGTGCAAGGACGTCAGCCCTGTCTGCTGCTGCACGTAGGTGCATGCGACGGGGTGGTATTTGCACGAGGAGGCAATGTTTGCTTACCTCGAGGTGTTGGATTTGCTTTGGTTAAACCAGTTCAAATCGGGCAGGTTGGCTACATGGCTTTAGCAGGTCTGATCTAAACCGGTGGATTTTCCTGCCCGGGGACAGCCGGCTCTGGGAGATGGTATCTGAACATAGCCGAGCTCCGGGGGCATGGACTTCAAGGGATGAAATAAGATGTCCCTGGGACAAACCGATGTGAAATCAGGTATTAATAAAGCCAAAGTAAGCTCTCTCTCCTCTCAAAGGCTGGCAGCAGCATCAAGCCATGTTCAACTTCACGCCCAAATGCTGCTTTACGCAGAAGGCAGGCCGCAGCAGTATAAGAGCATTTTTTGGTTTATATTTCCAGCGAGGGGGACGCTGAAGCCCAAAATGCAGCTGGGGAAGGCGGTTTAAGGATAACCGGGTCATGGGCATCTGGGATGGGGAGGTCAGGTCCAACGCCAAACTACACAGCCCCTTGCTAGGTGGGTGGACGGCATCCACCCCACGAGAGACTTGGTTTCTGCCCGCCGTTAAGAGCAGCTCTGCGTGGCGAAGAGCATTCCTGAATGGAAGAGGAAGTCCTGACCGTTGGCAGCGCAGCCTTTGCTATCAATTAAAAAAAATCCTAATTGACCAGCCTGACACAACCGACCTGGGAGCGCAGCAGGGCAGGCCCCCGAACGTACGCTCGAACCCACATGAAAGAGCTAATCGTTTCTCCACCTAATTAAGCAAACCAGCAAATGGCAAACAGGAGCCGGCTGGGTTTTAATTGCTGTAATTCTCCTAGGAAACGGGTCCCCTGGTTCTCCTACAAACCACGCACGTGTGCGCTCCGGCATGAAGGGGCACGGAGGCTCGAGCATCTTGGCTCGAGCGGTGCAAATCCCAGCTTAGTGATGCTCCAGAGAGTGAAGAAGGGGTGGGAGGAGGCGGTGATGGAGAGAACCAGTCAGTTTGTTTGCCCAAAACCGAAATGTTTTGTTTCCAGCAGCTTTTGGGGTATTGTTGAAGCTACGTTTTTAAGAAAATGCTTTGGCTTTGCAAGATAGATGTGGGGTGGTTTTCCCCCCACCCTCCCCTTCCATGGGCTGAAATAATTCCAGGAATTTAAAAAGATTTTGGACATAGCACGCTACTTCTGTGGCTGTTCAAGGAGCTAAGGAAACCCACCCACATTTACCCTTAGACCTTACTGCGTATTCTCTCTCCCGAGAAGCCCACCCTGCCCTGGTCTGCAGCGGGTGCTCTCCCTCACACCTGCAGAAGGGCAGGACAAGCAGGAGCTATTGCTGGGAGGGATCCCGGGGGATGCAAACTTCAGGCTGGGATGCGTCAGAGATTGCAGCAGATATGGGGCCTTTGCTGAACTAGTCTGGCCTCCGGCTTTTTTGGCCATTTTCTAATCTTGGGGCAAGGACCTCCGAGAGGTCCCAGATGTTCCCACCTCTCACCCTCGGAGGGTTTCCCAGTTCCCATGTGTTTGGTCCAGTCTTTTCCAGTCCTCCCCGAAAGGGAAATCCCATTTTTTCCCAGCGTTATGTCTAATAACAGGTGTAAGTTGTATACCGACATTGTTTTTCTTTGCCTTGCAGTGAGAGAAGGTTGTCGGGATGGCGAATTTCAAGGGTCACGCGCTTCCAGGCAGTTTCTTCTTGCTCTTTGGGCTCTGGTGGTCTGTGAAATACCCGCTGCAGTATCTCAACCAGAAAGTAAATAAGAAATCCTACAGGATTTATTGTTTCCAACGTGTGGATGCCATCGAAGGGGGAATCAAAATCATCTTTGCTCTAATAGGTAAGGATTACATTTTACTAGCTATGCTGGTAGCTTCCCAGCCTGTCGTGATGGAGCCCTTACTGCAGAGAAACCGGTCCAGACACAGAAGGATGCATCTTTGATGTTCACCTTGCCTTGATCTCTAAGAGAGTTTGATGTGAAAAGACCACATCTCGTACCCCTTCCCAAAGCTGAGCTACCATTAATACAGGCAGGCCTGATTTTTATAGCCAGTCCTTTCTCCCTAACGCAAAACCATCAGCTCTCGCTTCAGAATTCCCCCCTCCCCGCAGCAATGAGTAGCATCAACCAACCATCGTTGCACATAAACCGTCAGAAACGGCATGCTACCGTGCAGGAAGGCTGGCAGAGCAGTTCGTCCCAGATGGTCCACACTTGTACCTTTACAGCGGGGAGAACCGGGACTGGGTGAAGCTGATGAACTGGCAGCACACCACCATGTACCTCTTCTACGGCCTCTCCGGGGTGGTGGACGTCTTGACCTACATCTCCCAGGTTGTGCCGCTGGGTCTGGATCGCCTCATGCTCTCCGTGGCTGTGTTTGTTGAAGGTCAGTAGAAGGTAGCGCTTATTTCAGAGAGAGATGTCGGAGGGTGAGTCAGAAAGGGACCAAAATTTGCCAGACCGAGATACTGCTCTGAACACCCCTGAGGGTAGGACACGTTGCGGGTGATACGTTATCGAAGGGCGATCTAGAGCAAGATGGGCATCAATAAGCCCTGGCTTTGCCTGGGTTGGGATTTCTAGGGTGACAGTGGTATGAAGCAGCAGGCTGAGTTTCCTCGTTACGATAAATGACTGGTGGATGCTGCATTTATCTTACGTCTACAGAGCTGTCGGTGTGCCCTGTGTTCCCTCTCCCCGAGAGCCATTAATTGCACTGCGGGCATCGTCATCCTCATCTGCTTGCGGTGCACGTGGCAAATTCAAGTGACTTACCCTGGCTTTAGCACATGATGAATATAATTTTATCTTCAGGCTGTCTTGCAAGTCACGAGCCAGGATTTCAGACCCCTCTTGGATCACACAGGGAAAAGACACAAGGAAATGAAGGTCTTGCTTATATAGAAAGCCCCTTAACGAAGGCACATCTCTTGCCATTTTCCCTTCCCCGATCCCAGGGGATTTTTGAAGTAGCAGCAGGGGCAGCTCAAGAGGCATAGCTTGGCACGTAAGAAAAGGAAATTTATCATTTCCAGCTCCCAAGAAAATGGTGAAGTTTAGCAGTGGAAAAGCAGGACAGGGCAGGAACCTGGCTACGAGGGGAGGGTGATCTGAAGAGGTGATGGCACCGACACGGGGAGAAAACCACCCTCCTTTTGTCCTCTGCCTTTGTTCCCCATATTGCTCGGCTCCTCCTGCCCCAAAGTCGGGCATCTCATCCCTCCAGGACGGAGGGATGCCAGGAGACCCAAAGGGATGGTGCTATGTAGAATCCCTTGTTTTCATGGCCCAGTTTGCCAGCCGGGCAGGTGGTTTACTCTACCAGGGCTCTGTGGTCATGGTTGATATTGCTAATGCTACTCTAAGCGTGGTACATATTTTGGCAGGTTGTCTCTTCTACTACCACGTCCTTCACCGTCCCATGCTGGATCAGCATATCCACACCCTGCTGCTCATCGTCATCTTTTCTGGGGCCTGCAGCGTCATGTTGGAGGTCTTCCTCCGTGACAACATTGTCCTGGAGATGTTCAGAGCCGGCGTCACCATCGTCCAGGGAACGTGGTTCTGGCAGGTCGGTTCTGCATTCTCTTGCGGAGCAAGAGGTAGGAGAGCAATGGGAAAAGAGGAAAAGAAGCCGTACATCACCTATCAATCGCACACCTCTGAAGGAGAATTTTGCCAGGCTGGCTTCATAAATAGATCATCACCCAGAAGGAAAATTTACTTATCGCAGGTCATCTCTGATGACTGCTCCTGCGGAAATAGCTGTTTGTCTTGGCTTATTGCTTCTCTGGGGGGAACAGCAAAAGCAAGCGAGCAACATTTTACAGTATCTAACAACCAAGTACTAATTGCTTAATGTGTCTAATGCACCCTGCAGCCCTCCCTCTGGTTTAGTGGAAAGATGCAAACCCCACCAAGCAATAAAATGGCTGAGTGAAAAATACAGCCAGCTGCTTGCTTTGATAGTAGTTGGAGGAGCAAAGAAATCAGTTGGAGATAACCAGCCCCAAAACTAAGCTGCCGAAAAGACACGCGAGTTCCCCTCCTCTTTCTCAGCCCCGGGTCTGCTGCGCTAACTCCAACCGGCCTTTATTCGGAGATTAAAAACTGGGCTGAGCTTGTAAAATACTCCATTTGGAGTTTTTAAAGGATGGCTAGGAGTCTGCAAGGCAGAGGGACAACTGCCTCTGAATATTGTACAGAAAGAGAGAGACCGCAGGCGCAGTCTTGCTTTGTGTGGTCCCTTATGGCAAGGCTGGACTTCAGTTTTTGTCTTAGCAAAAACCAGCATCCAGGTCAGAGCTCAAGTCCCTCGGTCACCACGTGGATCACGGTGATAACCCAGACGGACGGAGAGGGGCTGGAGGGCTTCAGTACATTGATTTTTGTTTGTTTGTTTGTTTTTCCGCCCCCAAGCTAATAAATTACTTGTTCCACCCAGATCGGGGTCGTGCTTTTCCAGCCGTGGGGAGGTCCGACGTGGGATGAGAAGGACCACGACAACATCATGTTCCTCACCATGTGCTTCTTCTGGCACTGGGCAGCTGCTGCGGCCGTCCTGGCTATAAACTACACTCTCGCTTACTGGTACGGCTGGGGCGTGAATTCGGGGAGGAGCTGGGTGGGCAGACGGGGCTGGGGATGGCTGAGGTGAGATGCAGATGTACTCTAGAAGATCCTGGAGTACAAAGTCAGAGCTGAATAAGCAGCCCCTGACTACCGCCAGTTTTAGGGCACGGCGACAGGCGCGCGCATTATTTGTCGAGTGCACAGAATGCAAAATAGTGTCAGCAAGAGGCAGGGACATTAAAGGTGGAGAAGTCAAATAACCGAGCCTCTGAAGCGGCTCCTGGAAGTCCCACTGCTTCTTTTCTTTTTTTTCTCTTTGCACCGAGTGCTGGAAGTCAAACTTTAATGTGATAGAGAAATCTAAGCATTACCAGGACCCCCTGACACTTTGTCCCCTCCCTTGCAAGGACTTTGAAGCGGTTGACGGTCGCTGAGTTATTAGAGGTACAGCGGCACTGTCTGATGGTTAAAACATCGCCAGCGCCCGGCGTGGCTTTTCCAAAGGGATGGGAAGGGGGCATTATCCCACTTTCAGGGATGCTCCTGCGGCCCATGAACCTCTAAGGGATGCTGCATGGCTTGCCGAGACATGGGCTACAGAAGGGATGGTCCAGTCTATGCAAGCAAATAGACTTTATATGGAATAAAAAAACCCCAACAATCTCCCCCCCAACAGCATTTTAGGACCTCTATAATAATTTCTTCCCCTCTGTGTATTCATTACGGGTGCACTTCGCTCCCCTGAGCGTTCTGGTGAGTGGCATTAGTTTGTGGGGGGGTTGCTAACAGGGATTTATTGTTTGTGGGTTACAGCTGCGTCCAGAGGTACAGGAAAGGCAGCGGAAAGCCCTACATCGGTCTCGGAGTCCGGCAGCAAAAGTGTGACACGAGCTCCCAAGCCACCTTCTTAAATGGATCTGATGAAGAGTGAAGAAGGTGAAATCTCCTTCTCCAAATATGTGAAGGATTTGTCTTTGGGAAGGAAAAAAGAAAATAGAAAAGAAAAAATCTAATGAAATATTTATATTTTGGAAGAGCAAAGAGAGGTGCCACCGTTCTGCTGCTGGGAAGCACGTTGAGCACACGGGGGGTAGCTGCCCTCCCTCCCTACCCGAATATTGCTCTGAAACGACCACCGGTTGCAGAGATTTTTAGCAACCAAATTAAGCGCAGCAATTCAACATGACGAGATCGCTTCGTCCTATGGGTTCCCAGGTGTGTTCCCATAGCGATGGAGGGCATCCTTTGGCCAACTGACTTTGCCAAGAGCCCGGAGGCTTTGACCTGCTGTGATTGAAGTCAAGGAAACCTCCAGGCTGAGGTCACGTACCTCTGGACCAAGGCACCGATCCAAGGAAGAAGAGTAAAAAAAGTGTCGGATGTGAGATTATGTCCAATTTGCACCACCACGGCTCGATTGTACACAATCCAAATTTTATTGCCGAAGCTTTGAACTAAAGAGGGGGTTTGTTAATCGTTTTCATGTTCATTTATAGGCTGAAAGAGTGAATAAACGTAAAATAAAGATCCTCACTGAGCTGATATCCTTAAATTTAAGACTGATAAATTATAGAGTGTGTAATAATAGCTTAGACAAATCCATCCCTCAGACCTGTAAAGCCCGAAGGACTGTAAGGTACACGGCTAAACAGCAGGGATTCATAAAACATCCCAGTTTTCCATCGAAAATAAACCCCCTCAGCTTGGAAAGTGAGACGAAAACAGGCACACGTTTTGTTTTCAGCCTGCCTTTGCCAGCTAATTTCTTACAAAAAAAGTGACTGGAAATGTCACCTCCTAGATAGGAGGAAAATACGCCAGTAGTGAGTACGGGGATTAAAAAAATAATAATAATATATATATGTAAAAAATAAACACCAGGCAAGCTGAATGGTAACTGTTTGTGTCTCGGCCCCTGGGGCTGGAAGGATGCTCTGCACCGAAGTCTTCTCGCCGCCGCGTAACGGGGCGGGGATGGACGGCAGCCGATTTTTGTGCCACATTTCGTGACCGAACAGAAAAGCAGCTACCGGCGGGTCCAAGGGTTTGCGACTCCGTGCTCACACCCGGGGAAGGATAGCTCGTCTTCCAACACCCTTTCCCCTCGTGCAAAGAGCCTGCTGCAGACTAAGGGAGTTACAGCCTGGATTTTATTGCTTATTAACAGTGCTATAAAGACTAATTAGCCTGCCTTGATTGCCAACTTGCCTGTATTTCCACCACCGAGCCGGTTTATTTTGCAGGGCTGGGTGTCGGGACGTGCAAACAGGCTCGATCAGAAGAGAATTAAGCAGCAGAGCAATACATCTCCATAAATCCATCGGATAAAAGCCGTGCAATTAAATCTCAGGAGTTGCAACCGCTGAACACGACCAGCATTTTGCAGATACTTTTTTTTTTTTTCCCCCACCAAGTGGAATAATTTTTCTAAACCGCATTAATTCCTCTCGCTGCTACGATGAGACCCAACCCGGGGAGGGCGTTTTTTTGCAGAGTGCTGCCTCCGAATGCACAGAAAAAACTCGATTTGCAAGGTGACAAACGCAGTTACCTGGAGTGTTGCAGGACAGAAATCAGCAAAAAGGTCTTGCGCGGTGCCCTGATTTATTTCTGGTCTGCTCTGAATTATTATTTTTTTTTTTTTCAGAAAACAAGACCCAAACATCACTATTCCCATGAAAAACCCGCAGGAGGGCAGTACCAGGTGGCAAAGCTGGTGTTGGATGCCCAGGAACGTATTCCAGGCTGGCTGTGGTTGCAGTCACTTTGCAGCCACCCTCCTCCTTGCTCCCCCCAAAAGTCAGAGGGTATTTCCATCCGAGGGCACGCAGCTGAAAGCCGAGCTTGGTTTTTAAAAGCACTCCTTACTTTTAAAGGTGGGAGAGGGTTTATTGAGTTCTTCGCGGCTCTCTTTGCCGCTCTTCATCAAGTCGCCGTCTTCTTTCACCCCGAGGTTTTCTTGGTCCCTTGTCACGATACGGCCACAAAACATTTTTCCCCTCTGTAGAACCCAGTGTCTGGAATAGTTTCTGTCCGCCTCATTAACTCCCCGCTCCTACAAACATCCCAGGACTGTCAGTGTTACGCTCGCTAATTTGTTTTCCAACTCTGGAGCACATTCTTTCCCCAGGTATGAAGGTCAGCGAGGGAGGAGAGAGACAGCCTGTGATCGAGTAAGAAAATACAGGTGGTGTTCGTTTCTGGCTGAGAATTAAGGATTTTCGGTTTAGCTAAATACCACGTTTGTAAATAGCTTAGGCACCCAAACAAGGGCATGAAGGTTGCTGGGTGATCCAGAGATGGTTTATTATACAGCGAGATGCAATCACAAGCCATCCTCACGTTTATTTCTCATATGATAGGTATGCCAGGGCAGTCCTAAAGGGAGCATTGCTTTTAACACAACCTTAATATCATCCAGTAGGCCTGGATTATGTTTTTCACCGTAGAAATTGAATTATCAGCTAGCGTCCTGAAACTTTGCACTGGACCCGTTGGCCATGCAGCTGGAGCGGACTGGGACGGGGCGGGGGGTATTCTTGTAGCCATATCCACAGCTGGCTTTAAAAAAGGACGGTGATGCCCTGGGCGATGCCTCGGGGGTGTTTTTTGTCTTGTGTATCTGCATCCTGATGTTGTCGGACGGTTGTTGCTCAAGCGACCTTCTCGTCCGAGGCAGGAAGGAGCTGCTGATGCTCCCGATGGCAACATCTAACCTCCTCTTCCAAAGGAACCCAGACAACACCCTTCCAAAGCAGCCAAATGTCTTGGCAGCTGGCTTTCCCTCCAGCTAGAAAGACAAGCCCTTCATCAAGGGTCCTAGGAGAGCCCGTCCACGAGCTACACGCATTTCTCGGGCAGAGGTAGCATCTACCCCTGCCACCCCTCAATGCCACCTTTACGCAAGGCTGAAATGATGGTGTAGGCAGCAGAACAAACCCTGCCTATACTTTACCACCTGCTTCACCTCCTCTGTTGCCTGTTTATGAAAGCTGGTGTTAGCATTCGTCATCATCATCATCATCATCATAATAATACTTTGCCCTTCCCGAACAACCATCCATCTGCAGCGCTCGAGCTGCTGGCAAACCTTTAATTAGATTGTGCCTCCCACCACCCCCGGGAAGCAGGCAAACATTATCACATTTTTTCATTAGCACCGAGGCTGCTGATGAACCTTCCGGGAGAGGATGTTGCAGTTACAGCTGAGAAAAGAAAAAAAAATATAAAAATAATCAAATTCAGTTCAGGGTTTAGCTTGAGGACATTAGAGGGGCTGGCGTGGGTCGGGGACAGATCTGCCTCCCCCGGGCTCGCCCTGGGAGGAAGAGGAGGGCAGGCGTGTGCTGGTGCAATCCCATAATACTCCTCCATGCCTCAGCGCTTTGCAGCTAAGGAGCTGTAATGGAGCTGCAGCCATTCGTGCCCGCAGTGATTTTAGCATGCGTGGGGTGTGAGTGCCCGGCGCTGTGATTTTGGGGGGAGGTTTGCCATCCTTTCCCCGGGTACCCCCTCATCGGGCTGTCGCTCCCAGCCACTTGTCATGGTTTCATTCTCGTTTTTATCGTGGGGATGGTTTAAAAGGGTAGAAACCCCCTTTCCTCAACCATTTCATGAACCCGTGACTTTTTTCCACTGACTGGCAGGTAATTTAATACAAGTTGCCCTTTTCCTACAAACCTTTCTCTGTGGGCTTTACCCTTTGCTGGCCCTTTAAACTCCACGGAAAAAGGCACCTTCAGCCTCCGAGCAGATACTTTTCAGCTGAGCTTCGTTTTCTCCCTTCTCCTTCCAGCTGCTGCCCTCCCAGCTTGCATTTCCCCATTTTTCTCCAAGGACTCGACTCGTCCAGCTTGGGAAGTGGCTTAGTGCGAAGCTGCCCTTTTGGGGTAACGGTTTGGAGAGCTGGGTGCTTGCAGAAAGGAAAATTGAATTGCAAAGAGGTCCCTGACCGTGCTGCTGTTCTTTTTCCAGCAAAAAAAAAAAAAAGGTATGCTTTTCTTGCTGGGTTATTTTTAGGGGTAGGTCTGTAAGGACAAAGCTCCTGTGAAGGTTGCATTTCTCCCTGTGCTTGGGCTTAATGCGGTAGCGAGCTCCTGAAGTGAAGATGCACGTGTTTGTGGAAGCCCCTTTGTTGCTGCGGGCTTCCCCGATGTTACAGGACCCTTTTGCGTGGATGCTCAGCTCTCTGCAACGCGTCTCCCTTCCCAAACGCCGATGGAAACGAGCAGCGATGGGCGTACGGCACGGCTGCGTGCCAGCACCACCGCCAGCTGCTTGTTTTCCTTCCTTCCTCCTACTTGCTACTGCTGATATGGAAATAATGGGTATAAAAGAGCTTCTGGCTATGGCTTGGTGGCTTTTATGGCTGTGTTGGAGAGCAGCCCATCACCCTGGGGTGGGTTGTGCAGGCTGGTTTTGCTTCCATCCTGTTCCAGCCTTGGGGTTTCCCTGGGATGCTGGCTCACGTGCGTGGCTCTCGGCAGGGCTGGGCACGGTTTATCCTACGGTCTCGCTTGGTGTATTTTTTTTGGTGGCACGTGGAGTTATGTGCGTGTGGTTGCAACCCGGAGAAATACCGGGTTGGGAATGCACCGAGTAGTTGTTCGTGCCGGCGGTGGCTCCTCGGGCGGTCGGGGGCTCGGGCAGCATTCCTAAGTGTTTCTGCCCCATCGATTTGATGCTTCGGAGGGAGACGGGGACGTTGGGGTGGCCCATGGTGTTTATTTGCCTTGAGGCGCTTGTATTGCTCATCTCTGCAGCCGGCGAGGTGCTGAGGCTGGGCGTGAAGCCAGCGGCTACGTGATGCGCGGCGGGTCGGTAGTGGCTTGGGTCCGTGGGTGCTTGGCGTTGGGTAGCGTCGAGTATTGGATAGGGAAAAAGGAGAGGAAACAGGCTGTTGCCACCCCATCTTTTTGGGGAGGAGAGAGGGCCATCGTCCCCCTCCTCTCGGCTGCTGTGGGCTGGGAGATGGAGCTCACAAGGGCTCCGCTCTGG